AAACATCCCATGGGACACGTACGTACGTACTCCTCTTCTCCTTCTCTTCTCCTTCGTGGTCTCTGTGTGCTCATTTGGTACTCCTCTTCTTCAACTTCTTCTTCGTCTTCTTCATCTTTTTCTTCATTTTAATTCTTAGCATCAACTTTAAAGACTTTGGTCGCTCTTTCACAATGGAATAAGTAGCATTCTTTGTTAAATTTGGGCTAATTATGGGCTTCTAACTAAAAACCAATTGGCAATTAGTGGATTGGCCCTAACCCTTTATATATTATTGATTGTCCCATCAAACTTCCGATGTGGGACTTGGATTGTATCTCCAACAATCTCCTCTTCAATCCAAGGACCACATGGATCTTAACACACCTCCTCGATCCCTCACTCGGACCGATAATAAGCCCCTTTCTCGGGCCCCCATTACTCGGGTTTGAGGTATGTCCGTATCCACTTTTCTAGGTCCACCAGAATTTGAACTTTGGGCTTTGATACCATGTTAAATTTGGGCTAATTATGGGCTTCCAACTAAAAACCAATTGGCAATTAGTGGATTGGCCCTAACCCTTTATATATTATTGATTGTCCCATCAAACTTCCGATGTGGGACTTGGATTGTATCTCCAACATTCTTTCGATGAGAATCAAGAGAAGCCTGAACAGCTCGGCCTCCAATCATCTTCATGCCTTTGGGTAAACCCACAGAAACATTAGCTAACTCCTGCTTGAGACCAGTGGGCAAAGGATAACATGGGGTCAAATTAGGTATCGACAAGAGGCTGTTGAATCAAATGGACCAATGTAATGAATTATACACTTGGATTGGATGAATAAAAGATGAATCTAAAATTTTACCATTTTGAGATGGAAAAGTGTGTTAACTAATTCAATATGTGCAACTGCTTCTACTCGTGAGAATGACATGTCTACACTTAAATGCACAGTTAATTTTTTAATTCAAACCACTTAGAAATGATCATTCATTTATCCAATTATTTGATAGTAGACAAAATATATTGATATAAGAAGAGAGGATGCTTACTTCCTGTGCATGTTCTTCACTAGAGAGATGAGCAGTGAAACTTTCAGCGCTTTTGCCGGAAAAATGGCATAGTAAGCAAAAAAAACAGGCAGATTCATCCTTTGTTTCACTCGTTTCACTGCACTTCTCCAGGAGAAACTGTCTTCTTGCCTCCGGTTTATTATCCAAAGACCCTGAAAGTACCTTTCCCCAGTATAACCCTAAAGGGCCTGAAACAGTGCAAGTGGCAATAGGGTGAGCATATACCTTGACAAAGGTGTACCCTTCCTTCTTTAACGATTGGAGACTGCGATCCATGTAAGTTAAATCTTGGTAATGGGCAATGATCATTACTGTAGCCGGAGCTGGATTATCTATTGTCCAAGATAGAAAGTACGTAAAAAGGTCTTAATTTGGGACCTGTTCAAGAAAAATGAAGCAACTCAATATAGCAAAACCCTAACTTGTACTACAATTATAGAAAGATATAACTCAATAGCAAAAACCCTAACTTGTAATACAATTATAGAAAAGAGAGAAGAAGATTTAACTAATCGTTGCCGACGTTTTTAATAATGATTCCAGAGGAAGAGAGAGCTCGCAGGACGTCTTTCAGGGGTACCTCTAAAGTCGCCAGTGGCAGTGATGGTGACTGGACCAATATGGCCTAAATCCACCAACATCTTTTTGATACACGGACCGACCAGACCAGCATCATACCCATTTGGAACCGGAGAGCTGTTCACGTCCCACCACACCGACGTTATTTCGTTGGTCTAGTACATCGTTTACTGTCGATGGGGCTATCAGCCGGCGGAGAGAAGGGACCTTGAAAAATTTAGGGCATAAAGCTGTAGGCTAACTATATCGGATTTTATGATATTTTTCCACGAGGCGGAGGCAAAGTCGACCCATACCCAAATTATTCAGAGCTGGAAATTAAATTTAACTACTATAATTTGCCGATTTTGTCTCGTTATCTAAAATAGTTTGTATAAATTTTATTATTACCCGAATTATCCGTTTTTGTTCCGTATCCGTTATTTTCCCGTCTTGATATCCATAATACACTAATTTAGCTTAGGACATAATGGTGTGATGCGTATATTTTTTAAACATTTTTTTTTAAATATAACAATTTATTTAGGAGTGTCAAATCTGTTTTAGTTTGGTTGTTTTGGAGTATCATATGTAACATAGCAGATTGATATAGTATAGTCGAATAACGATATTAGGTCCGTTGTTTTGATATACTTATTTTTTATTCATCGATTGAGTAATTTATGTCTGTTTTTAATAATTTAAATCATAGTATGTGTGAAAGAAATTTTAAAATTTTAATTAATATATTGATTATGGAATGGTTTAAATGTTTATAAAAGTAGGATTAAACAAAGGTGAGAGGAGAAATCTTAACAATATATAGTATCAAAATAGTTAATGTAAATATATTAGGTTAGAGTAATCGTTTTTGAATTAAAGTTATAAAAAAAAATTGTTTAATGAGATTTTTAGATTATATGGAAATTATAAGATCCGAGTGCATATGCATATGGGTCAATTTAATTGCACCAACCCGTTTCTCTTTGACTAATTTAACCCTAATCTACCCTTAATGAAATAATTAGTACTAATTTCCTCAAAATGGCATTTGAAGTAATTACTACGAAAAACTGAAGGTCAATTTTCTCAGAGCTGTCTATAGCGTTACACCTATACTATAGCGTTTCAATTCCTATCCACCTGTACTTTCGACTTCTGTCTAATTCACCCTATACTTATTTTAAACTTCCTAATTCCACCTAAACTATTAAATTCTCCATAATTAACCAAAATCAAGAATTCTCTATAATTGCGATTAAAAATCGTTCAAATCGCGTTTACTGTAGGCCAACCCGAGTCAGATCCGACCAACTTCGAAGACTTCTTTCACCATAAGGGTTTGACTCGTGTTCATTTGTTTTGTCGGGTCAACTTCAGATTAATATAAACACAGATTTTTTACTGCAATTTGAACGATTTTTAATCGCAATTATAGAAAATTCTTGATTTTGGTTAATTATGGAGAATTTAATAGTTTAGGTGGAATTATGAAGTTTAAAACAAGTATAGGGTGAATTGGGCAGAGGTCGAAAGTACAGGTGGATAGGAATTGAAACGCTATAGTATAGGTATAACGCTATAGGCAGCCCATTTTCTCATGTGTACTTCTCTTTTGCTAATATAGAGATATCATGATTGATTAACACATTTTTAATAATGATACCACCACTAAATGAGCATGGTTTTTTTTTTTTTAATGCAAAATCGCTGGATGCTATTTTGGTAAATATTCTTATTCATATTCGTTTGTGATTTTTCAAAATAGTGTAGATTTTTATACTTGATTTTGAAATATTTTATGTTATTTTATTCTTTGACACACTCTTTAGAAAAAATCATGCGTAATAAAATAAAAAACCTTTTATATACGAAAATTTCACTGTATTTTTTCGGTAAATTAATTATATACAGCAAATTACTCATTTTGTAATGTGTATATTTTTGGTTATATAAATCTGGAGAAAATCAACTGAAAAGAAGTCCTTGCCATTGCATTCATGCATTTGATTATTGTTGAATATTATGGTTCAAATTTTAAATATGTATATTGTGTTATAAATCTTCAATGAATAAACTAAAAAAATTGTATCATCTCTGAAAAGAAGTCCTTACCATTGCATTCATGCACTTTATTATTGTTGAGTATTATGGTTGTATCATGATTGATTAACACAATTTTAAAATATGTATATTTTTGTTATAAATCTTGAGTAAATAAACTAAAAAAATTGTCCACTTGAACCAACACAAATCTTAATAAATGGTCAAAAGCATTACACGTTTCAAATAGATTATTGGCACTTTTAAAAATGGAGCTGGAGTATAAGTATAGACCACTTTAATTTTCTAGAATAATTCTGAAGAAATCATATGCTATTGCCTAGAATTATGCAAACATATTAAAATCTCGTAATCTAGTGGTCCAGACGAATATCTGTCTCGAGTCGACGATCAATATCCAACGTATCATGCGTGTGCAAAGTTTGACATTTTCGTCTACTACGTGAAAGTTGTCACCTGTCATATATATACTCGTATTAATGTATACTAATACAATTATGTACACTAACCTATGAAAAAGCACTTTTGTTGGACGAAATGTTAGTTGTTATAACAGAACAAAATTATGTGCTGATAAATAATTTAAATATTAGGTGCCACAAATAATTTGCAGGTGAATAATTTAATTAATATGATAAATTAATTGTTTGGTGACCGGTGACCCCTAATAACGGAAATAATATCTTAAAAAAAAACTTGTAACAGTTTGTGGCCTATGGTGATTAACTTAAAACTATTTACGTAAGCCTTTCTCAAGAGATGATTACAAAGCTTGTATACAAGAAATTAAGAAAGGAAAATAGAATTTACTTTTCTTTCAAAATCGAAGACGCAAATGATTTGATAGTCATTGGCACCTAACTTTGGACTAAAAAATCACGTATTGTTCGTTTGTTCACACATTATAATGTGTATATAATATACAAAGTCTACATATAACAACGTGATTCTCTTACAAAAATTTGGATATTACACATATAATTGATAATTAAATTAAATTTTACAATATAATAATAATAATGTTTGATGATTAAATTTTGACAGACAACTCGTGATAATCACACATTCACACGTACACCATCGTCCCACGTAAAGTCCAACGCGGCATTTCAAGTTTAATAAATATTCATTTGTTGTTTTTTTATTCACTATCGTAGTATCGTTGACCTTAAATATTATCACAAAATACTAAAATTCCATTACTTGCGCTTCACTTCTCTATTTTTCTTTTGCTTTTCTTGTTTGACCAATTTACTCATACAAGAATGTGCATACTTTCATACATGATACATAAATCATGCACATAAATATATATATATATATAGGTTTATATATACGCATATATATACATCTCAAAACTTAAACCGCCTTCTTAAAATCCAAAATTTATAAAAACCCTAGCTAGTAGCTAAATTAATGTCTCCTCCTTATTCTTCTTCTTTCTCCGAACATTATATGAATCTTTCTCATAAAACCATGTTTATGACTCTTTATATTGTTTTCCTCTTGGTTTTTGGTTCATACAACGCCACGGCAAGGATGATCGGACCGATTAAGCTTTCTGAAACGACACTAGTTCAAACAAGATCAAGACAAGAAGAGATCATTGGGGGTTTTAGATTCAAAGGTCGTGTGTTCCATTTATTTTCAAAAAGAGTACTTGTACCACCTTCGGGACCTTCCGTGAGGCATAATTCTGTGGTGAATAATCTCAAACACTAACTGAATTTTATCTTTTGGTTTACTTTCAATCTCTTAGAATTTGCTTTGATTTTTTTTGACAATTATGAAATTGTATTTAGAAAGATTCTTAAAGTTGTATTTATTTTTTTGAATTTAATGTTAAATTATATTCAAGAAAAAAATAAACTTGTTTACACTTCAGTGCATACTATTAGGATAAATTGATGAGAGTAAAGAACACAAAAGTGTTTAGAAAGAATTATAATAGACTCTCATGAGAATTATTGTACAAAATACATTCTCTTATATAGAGATGAGATTTCCTAATCTAAGATAAATATAAATTGTAAATAATATATTTAGAGATAATGTTAAACTTCCTAAACTTAAGATAAGATAACTTCTAGATCCTTCATGATTTCCATAATCTTGGGCGATCATCTCAACCGTCGATCTCGGTCGATCTCCGGTTCTCCCAATAGTAACACAGGTCATTCAACTTAAATATAGCAAATAAGTCTGAAAAAGTTTATCGGCTTTATACCCAGCCGTCGGGTCATCATCGACGTTTATACCGGTCGTAGGGTTCAAATCGGCTACAAAACCCTTCAAAGTTCAAACATTAATACTGGGGCATATAATATTTTTAAAACAATAAAACTAATATACTTTTTACATTTTATTTTCTACTAAAAATAGTATTAGTAACACATGTTATGTATGACGGAAAAAAAACACATTTTAAGTATTTTTTTGGTATCAATATTACGTATTTATACCATTTTCGCAAGTTTTTGACAAAAATTACATAAATATACAAATAGCCAGAAAAGACCGAAAGCTAAAGAAAAAAACAAAACTACAACACAACACAACAAAAACAACAAGGAAGCACAAGCGAAAACCCAACGAGTAGAGTCCCAGTAAAAAACACCGATTCCAAACCGCAAAGCTCGGTGATTTCTTCAGCTCCAAAAAACTTGAATCCTCATCGTTGTTGTCACGAGCAATCCCAACCTTATTAGACCCATCCTCAAACCTCAAGATAGGGCGTCTACATCTTCTCTGAAGACTAACACAAAAACAGGATGGTTGTAGTAGACTTAGTCACACACCTGGCGGCACAGGAGCATCTACAGGCAGCCAGAAAAGCGGCCTCCAGCCACCATCCCTATCGCAAGCTACATGAACATCTCCCACATGATAACGAAGCCACCTAGACCAAACCGCCGCCTCTATTCGTCAATGAAACAAAGCAAACATCACAGCTTCAAGACATCAACAAAAAAAGGATTCATCATATAATACATTGCTTCTAGATAACAATTTCACTTTTTGATCACTAATCTTTTGGAACATCGTTAAAGATAATTCCAATATTACACGTTGAACATCATTTAAACAAAAGGCCAAAATCGAAACACATTTTTAAAACGATCAAATATTACCTTCTTAATCATATTACTACTAATCTTAATTTTTTGTCCCCTTAAACCCTTAGAAAATACACACTATGCTTAGGTCCACCACTTGACACATCAGGATTCATGATATAAAACGCCTCCAAGTCTCTCGACCCGATAACCCGCTCGAACCGGGCTCTCATATACATGAGCTCACCTTTTCCGGACCCAACCGCTCCATTCCCTTCTTCATCCACCGTCGTTGCCACCGGTAAACCTCCAACACCCATTCTTATGGGCCCAACCGCCTTCAACACCTTCCACTCCGCTTCTCGACACTCTTTCCTCGCCGCATAACCACATTTTTTACCGTTACAATACGTTCTCCACGTGGACGCTTCTTCTTCGAATCCGTCTTAAATGCCGCCATTTCGAGCGCGATTCTCACTAGCCCCGAAGCCATCTCACCGACACGCTCGTTGGAGTTGGTAACTGGATCAACACCGCGGATAAACGGGTCAGGTCATCTTGTACGGCGAAGTACACTTGTTTGTGGGGCTGATCTTTGTTTGTTTGCCTCATGCTATGTTAGGGTAATAAGAGGAGGTAGAGTTAAAGATTCGCCAGGTGTAAAATCCCATTGTATTCGAGGAGTAAAGGATTAGTTTGATGCTAACGAAGTATGCATAAAGGACAAGCAAACACGGAGACTAATTTGTCTTGGACATAATAAGTCATCTATTGTGGTTTCGGGTTTAGAGAGATTATGGATTTTGCCTCAGAACCTCCTAGTATTCAGGAAAAAAAAAAAAAAAAAAGTCATCTCATAGTCTCTTGAGAATGAATTTGAAGTACTGTTTTGTATTTTTCTGAGAGGTTGAAGATATGAGAGTAACCATTCACATCCTTGGAAAGTTTTTTTTTTTTGGCAAATCAAATCTATTATATCATCAGAAGTTTACAAAGTACAAAAAAGTTCCAAATACAACCATTGACACAAATAAAAAAATTAAAACAATTTTGATGGAGTGGAGAATAACCAAGCTATATAGCCTGGGAAAGTTTCTATCTCACCGTGAAGTCTAGGCAAAAAATAGATTTCTTCTCTAAGTTTTGTCATCATTCTTTTCTTAAAAAAATAGAATTTGTGAATTGAATTAAAGAATGTGTGAGGATGTTGCAGGAACTTGTGCAGAGCGCTTTGTTAGAGAGCAGCAACACTGGAAGATTTGATAGAATTTTATACAATAAACTTGTTAGATTGTCTCTATAGAAAAAAAAATACTTTAAATAATTTGCATCGAAAATACAAAATTTCCACGTTTATAAAACACTTTTTTCTCTGCTTAAATAAGAAACAAACAGGTTTGAGTCCAGAGACTAACATTCTATTATTCCTTTTAATTCCTTTCAAAATAACTTTCGATTAAAGATTGCATTCATTGTAAAAACGTTTTTTTGGTTGAATAAATTTTACATTCATTCAAAAATAAATAAAAAACAGGAGTATTGTTTTTTACCAATTGCTAAAAAAGTTTCTAGAAATATATCTTTCATTAAACCCTTGTTAAATTAGGATTTGCGTTTATTTTCCTTATTTCCTTGTGAAAATAGGAAACCCAATTCTAATTGCGAAAAGGAAAATACAATCGACCGACTCTTTGGGTTCTATAAATAAAGGGAACACATTCATCGACTCTTCTATATTTCATTCAACAATCTTTAACATTGAGAATGATTTCACACCTGAAGAAGAAGAAGCGATTCGCAAGGAGAACGCTTGGACTTTTGGGGCTGATTCAAAAACAGAAGATCCAAAACCCTAGTTTTTTAAAAAAAAACCTGGCTTTGTGTTTCGTTTCGTTTTTCTTTTTCCTTTTCCATATATGATTTGGTGAATGATTTGTTTCCGTTTTCTCAAGTGTGATATTGACTTTTGGTCTCTTTAATTTCGTTGTTAATTTTCACTTAAATAAAATAAATCTAAGTAGTTAATTTGGTCGTCTAAGTAAGTTTTTGATCTCTCTTCTTAGTGAATCTATATTTACAAGTCGTATTAAGCGGGAGGGTGAACGTGCTTCTTGCCAAGGTGAGACAAGACGAGAGAGAGGAGGAGATATAAAAAATCAGAAAGACCAACAATTGGCCGCCTCCTCCTAATCAAAGAAAATGCCGGAAAAAAAGAAGAAGAAGGAAAGCATCCAAAATGGAGAAAACTTTCGTCATGATCAAACCCGACGGTGTCCAGAGGCGACTAGTACGTTTCCCATTGGTCCTCATGTGTTTCGGTTATTTTGCGTTGTTCTTTGCTTTGCTTGACAAAGATTACATATATGTTTCAGATGCCTGAAATTATCAGAAGGTTTGAAGAGAAGCGTTTCACTTTGAAGGGTATAATTGATTCCAAACTTGCTTGAGTGATTTGATTGAGTCAACTGAGTGGGGATGTACAGGCATGAAGATGATGAGTGTTGAAGCACTACGAGGAGCTGTCTGGCGAGCACGTATTCGGGCGTCTGGTTGATTACATTGTGTCGTCCGGGCCTGTTGTTGCAATGATATGGGAGGGGGAGAATGTTGTGGAGACAGTGAGAGAGATGATTGGACCCACAAGACCATCAGACTGCGAGTATGCAACCATCCGTGGGGAATTTGGTATTGACAAGATCAGGAATGTGATCCATGGGAGTTACTCTGCCGAGATTGCAAACAAGGAGATTGCATCTGGGACAAAAAAAATCAACAATCATTGGTACAAGTTCGATTGTTGATCCTTCGGGGTGAGTTTTTCTTTTAAATAAGGTTTTAGGGGTGAATCCAAATAAGCAAGAAACTTTTTTTTTAGGTTGTTTACTACGACTAGTATCATAGTGTCTTGTACTGTTATTTACACGGGGCTTGATGGTGGAGACTCTCGACTCGAGAGTAAGTTTGGTGTTGCATGCTGACATAGATGAGGTCTCTAAACTTCGTTTGTGGGAGTCATTAATGAAAGTTCGAGCTTCTATACATTTTCGTTAATTAAGTTATACCAAACGCCGATCCTATTACATTTTTTTTTTCCAATCAATGAGTTTAAGCATATACTAACACTTTCGCCTGTTGGCTATTCTAATTTCATAAAATTTATTTAACGATTTTATCATTATGCATGAGAATTCAATAGAGTTCCGCCATCCTCTAAAATGCTAACTCAAAGAAGAGTAACAGTTAAAAAGTAAACCACATTTGCATAATTGCATTAAGATAATAATTCCAATATTATCACAAAGATAAAGTTAAAGAAATATGGATTCATCATAATACATTGCTTCTAAATAAAGCATTCACTTTTTGATCACTAATCTTTTGGAACATCATTAAGATAATTCCAATATTACACGTTGAACATCATTTAGACAAAATCCCAAAATCAAAACACATTCTTAAAATGGTCAAATAATACCTTCTTAATCATATACTAATCTTATCATTTTCCACTTAAACCCTTAGAAAATACACACTAAGCTCAGGTCCACCACTTGACACATCAGGATTCATCATATAAAACGCCTCCGAATCTCTCGACCCGATAACCCGCTCGAACCGGGCTCTCATATACATGAGCTCACCTTTTTCGGACCCAACCGCTCCATTCCCTTCTTCATCCACCGTCGTCGCCGCCGGTAAAACTCCAGCACCCATTGTTATGGGCCCAACCGCCTTCAACACCTTCCACTCCGCTTCTCCACACTCTTTCCTCGCCGCGTAACCACATTTTTTACCGTTACAATACGTTCTCCACGTGGACTCTTCTAAAAGCTTCTTCTTCGAATCCGTCTTATACGCCGCCGTTTCGAGCGCGATTCTCACTAGCCCCGAAGCCATCTCACGGACGAGAACGCTCGTTGGAGTTGGTAACTGGATCAACACCGCGGGTAAACGGGTCGGGTCATCTTGAACGGCAAAGTACACGTGTCCACGACGGTTACCGAATAAAGTACCCACGACCCGGAAACCCAGACCCGAGTTAGAGAACCCGAGAGCGTAACGGATCTTTTCGATAGTCTTTTTCTTTTTTTTCTTCATTATGTGTTGAGTATTGAATTGATCCGGTCGGGTCGGGTCAGAGGAGAAATTGAAACGGGTCAAGATTTTCTCTTCGTTTTTGTTGTAATCGTCTTCTTCTTCTTCCTCTTCCTCGTCGTCGTCTTCTTGAACTTTCTTCTTCTTCCAATTGAAGTAACGTTTTGAGAGAGAGAATGAAGAATCGAGAGAAGTGTTGGCTAAGATTGACTTCATCTCTTTAAATGAATATACAAAATCTTTGTTTTTATTCTTGGAACTGAGACTTGAATTGAATGAAGTTTGGACTCTCATGTACTCTCTCTTATATTGGTCTTTAATGGAGTTTTTTTATGTGTTTGTGGGGACTGATTTTATTTACCTAATTTAATTTTAAATTACAATTTTGACAACTTTAATTCTTTTTTTTTGAAATTATATTTGACCTTTATTTATTTACCTCCCTGTCCTCTCTACAATTTATTTAAAAACTTTTTGTTTACTGATATCACGTAAGATTATTGTTTTGAAATAATTTATTTCTCGTATGAGCCCTTATTTAATAAATTAACTAAATTAGTTTATATTACATTTCTTAATTTTTTTTTATAGTTGACCTTTTGTATGATTTTATTTGCCTCTGTTCTTTCTACTGTGTTTTTGGTCTTAGTTTTAGTATCTCCACTAAATTCAATTATGATTATGTTAAACACTTAATACGAAAACGATAGTATGTGAAATTAATATTCATTATTTAATGTTATGTATAAATTAACATTCTAAAGAAATGTAAGGATATGGCGCGTCACTAGTTTATGAATCATCCAATTAGATAGTAACCAAACTAAAGATAATTGGCCTGGTCTTCTTGGACTAGTAATTTTTTTAGATTATCATAAACTAGAGTTAGAACTATTGGTCTGTCGATCAAAGTATATATTTCTTTTAAGAAAAAAAAAAACAGATGTGTGAGATAGTCTTAATTAAAGAGAAAGATGGATGTGAAAGAAGATAGAAAAATAAAAGGAATAGAGGAAGGTGAGCAGCCACCACCTAACCGTAGATTAAGGACTGTCTTCATTGAGACTTATGAATAAGACATATCATACACCAAATCAACATTTACATTTTGTCTTTTATACACACACCTACATGTGTGTATGTATATATATATATAGTTTCATTTATTCTTAGTTAAAAATTAGAAGTATCTGATTAGTTGTGTCGGTTGGAGTAAAAATAAATGGTGGATAAAAAAATTCAGTAAAAAAAAAAAGCATGAAAGGGGAGAAAAATAGGAAATTTATTATCAACTCAATATACAACTACTACGGAAATTTATTATCGACTCAATATACAAGTATTAGGAAATTTGTTAAGGCGGATAATCTAGCACGAAAAGTTCGTACAGAACCGCTTCATATCACTTATGTAAATAACATTCTTCATGAGTGGCTCTTTTGAGTTTTAATTAATTTCGGATGAAAAAAAAAAAAAAAAACTCTATATACAAGTACTAGTGTACTAGTACTACAAAGAACTTATTAGTTTTACTCTATTTATCACCTTTTTTCACTCTCATTCCTCCTCTCAAGCACTCTATAGATAGATGTTCACCAATCGATTGCACCCTAAAGTTTCAAACAGTAACAGCAACAAAAATAGTGATCCACTACAAGAATTGTTACAACAAGATCAGTAATATGATGGGGCAAAGGGGAAGGTAATTTGCAAGTAAACAATTTTTTAGCAAATACATAAAATTACGAGCACTTGTATATAACAAACCAAGTAGGGTTTATAACATATACATAAAATTTTATAACATAATTTTTATTATTCGTACAAAGCATGTCAAATATCAATTATCACTAAAATAACGAGTATTTGTCTTTTGTCCACTCATAGTATTTCTGATAATTATTTTGTGACTAAAACCAAACCTAGAAATCCTAATAAGTCGTTGTTTAATTTATTTTGCCTAAACTAAATCCAAACAAGACTTATATCAAGTAACACTGCAATAATTAATTATATAAGAGTATAAGAGCAATATTATTGGGAGGTGCTTAATTTTGGTTCTTAGCCCAATTTTTGGTTCTTAGCTAAGAGTCATTCCTTAGCAAAATCATCAATTACATATTTAATTTTAATCTCTTTTTAGCTAAGAACCAAGTTAAGCATCTCTCAATAAAGATGGTCTAAAAGCAGCCTTAACGATAGATTCTTAAAAAAATCTTAAGATTATGTTAGTATTTAATTGATTATATTTATTTTCAAATGTGCCTTTAAACTAAAAAGTGTTTCTTAGTTTAGGAACAAAAAAAAATGTTAAGAGGTGGAACAAAAAAAATGTTAAGAGGTGAAAAAAAATATATTATTTAAATATTTTTAAAAAGTACTATTAAAAGCCCTTGAATAATAATGCTCTAGGACTACAATACCAAACACTCCCAAAATCAAACAGAAATAGGAGAGTTCTCGCTATAAAAGAATCTACATTACATCAAGTAAATAGTTAATACTGTTTACATATAGATTTTAAGGAGACAAGAAGGTGGCGATGGATCTCAATCAATGTCTCATTTGTAGTGGGGACTACAGAGTTGACAATTTAGTCTACTCTTTTTCATTCGAACATATATTAATTTGTTATAAAATCGTGTACCATAAACGCAATGTTTCTTGTACGTTAATTTAAACGCATTTTTTCTTGTTATAGTATATTTGAGGTCCTCCAAGAATAGAAACTAAAAAACATGTCATTTATGTATGACAAAGTTAGAATAGAAACTAAAAAACATGTCATTTATGTATGACAAAGTTTTATAATGAATGATATACTGTATCTGATTTTAAATTCATTATTTTGGATGTGGAGAATTCAAAATCCATACGAATTATTGGAGTTGTGATTTAATTACTTTAAGTGGTTAGACGTCTTACTTCTATAGTTCTACTGTATAGGTTAATATTGATCACCAAATATTCGTGTTTCTTTTCAAAATTAAAATTAAAACCAGCGATGCAATTAAGAAAATTTACATTAAACACACCATTGTCACATCTTAAGAGAAAAAAAGATGGGACATACTACGGCCAACATCGAACCAATCAAACATTGTCTATATGTGTTGTTTTTTCCACACACCTACACTACACCAACAAGCATGCTTTTTTCTTTCCATCATATTGATATAAAAATTAAAAATTTAATGTCTAAAACCTTGACTTTGTGAGAATAATATGATGGAATTTGGTGTACCATTTTTCTTGTTGGTGTTACTTATGACTTAACTAAGAGAAGCATGCGCGCCAGCCTATGAAATTATGAATAAAGGATTTTATATATAAATTGCGCTCTACGACTTTGGTAGGAAAATTCAATTTATGTGGGAAACAAATATTATAACCCATATTGAAATATACGTTACAGTTTTTTTTTTTTTTTTTTACAGTAATATACGTTACACTCTATGGGAACAAAACTTCAAGTAGTCACATTGATTTTCCCAGACTTGGTTATGATTTATGGATATTGTAATGAACTATTGGTTTTATATTTTTATACTATTTTCATTCATTGTGTTTCATTAAGAGCAAAAGGTTTTATCACTAAAAAATAAAAGTTAATATTTTGACTTATTTACATTTTATTGAATATTTCAGGAAAATGTATAAAATATTGTTCTTAATTTTCACTCTTATTAAACTATTTTATTAGAAATAATGTAAATACAAAATGACCTGTGATTTAAATTTTGCCGCACAAGAGTTATTTATTAATATATAATGAAAACAATTTTGAAAATTAGGATTCTAATTCTATTTAAACTGTTAAACAATAGATTAAATTAGAAGCATATATCCTTTTTAAGCAAATGAAAAAAGTTGTCTTTTGTAAGTAATCCTCTTCATACATTACATTACAATATGTTTTTTGGAATAACTATTAAAACAAATATCAGCATAATAATTATATAGAGCATAGATCAAATTCTAAATCTGTTTTCTAGATCATATGGTTGATCTTCCACTAAAAGCATAATTTTATTTGTTTCTATAATTTAGTAAGGGTTTGGTACACTGTTGATGAGTGCAATAGTTGGTCGGCTCGCTCTGCCGTCCATAACTCCACAGCATTATTTTTTTGGGTATATTATAAATGACACGGAAAAAATTACATAAATAATGCCTTTTCTTACCTTTAATTTTGTTTAATAATTTTTTCTTGTTACAGCTAATTCTTGAAACTGGGACCGACCAAACATCATAAATCAACTAACTGTTGAACTAGTGCAAACAAAACTAACCAAATACGACGACTTTTATGATAACCAAAGTGATGTTACCTATTATCCCGTTCTCTAGCAACCAAGTAGTAAACATACAAAACTAGAAAATGAAAAATTTTAATATAAGAAAACATGATTGGAGATCCTTACACGTTCGTTAGATTTGGGTATAACAGACTAACGGTTAGGCTTAACGATAACATCGAATGTTGTTCATTGGCAAAAAGAAAAAACGTAGTCAACAAATCTGTGGCAACGTGGAATGCGATGTGTTTTGTGCATGACAGAAAAAACAAATGTTTGTGCCAAAAAAAAAAAAAGAAGTTAAATCGTATACTTTGTGAATAAATAGGAAACCTAAAGTAAAATGCACAAATGAGCCATTAAAAGTCCAAACGTGTGTGTGTTTTTTTTCAATTGTTTGTGTTCAAACTTAAAAACACTTCAAACGAAATTGGTAACTATCTTTCACAAATAAAAAGTATTATTAAAATGTAAATTGAATTCGTTACGAAAGAAAAATTGTAATAATATGAAAAGTTAAAGACACTATCATGAAAAACTGGAATACACCCAATCATTTGATGATAATAACAATTTTGCTACGATTGATATATTTTAAACTATTTCCTCGTAACCTATATAAGAAACATAAATCTTAAAAAGTAATATGAACATGTGTATCGAGTGCTAACCTTTCCATGATATTAGTAACTAACAATTTATCAATTCTAAACTGAAAAATTTGATTAGAATTAAAATTCTTTTAGAAAATGTCATACATTGTAAACGCCAATTACTTTAATATAGACACCAAATGCATGAAAATTCTTACCTAACTAGTACCTCATTGCCAGATCTGCACATTCCTTATCTTATGAGGAACTTTCACATGGTTCACATGAGAGAAAGCAGTAGTACACCTGATTTTTTTTTCTGTGTTGGCCCAAGCCATTGATTGTTAAGCCCAGTTTCGATTCAAACATTTGGGTTTATGTACCCTTTTTGAGTTCGAGTTTAGTTTTAGTTTGAATTTTGTTTGGTCGCTTTAT